CCTTGCATATTTATGTCACATTTTCACACACTAACTTTTAAAGTCATCTATTGTGTTGCACAAATATGTTTAAGAATTTAGTGTTCCACTTCCCATATATACTATATGTTGATAAGTAAGACATATTTCATAATGTGTGATTGTAGTTCTGCTGATTTACTTTCAGTCTGTTTAAAGCGTATGTTTCATGGATGTACTAAAACAAAACTATTGAACTAAACATCATTGTTTTCCTATTTACCACAATGTTTTAAAAATGTGTTTGCTGAAATAATGTCTTTATCCAAAACTCACAATTTTGTAGTATTGTGGGTACTTTATAAACTCAATAAACTTGAATATGTGCAAGCCTTTATTTTCCTGTGCATTTATTTGATGTAAAAGTCATAGAATCAATCATAAACATTATTGCCAAGTATGTTAAAATACAAGGGATTTGCAGCTTGAACTTCCTGAGCTGGCACAGGTGGTACATCCTCTGGAGATGGGGTGGTCCATAGGTTCCTCCACACTGATGAGGGGTTGTTGGCCAAACACTGATTTTTCAGCCTTTTAGAGCAGCTCCTCTTTGCTACTCTGATCTCCTGTGTCAGTATGTTTCTGGCCTGGTTATACAGGATCATGTCCCCACTGCTTGGTCTTCGCTGTGAACCAGGGCTTGTTGTTACTGTATGGGCAGGTCTTAGTGGGAGCACACGTCCTCACAAAAACTGATGTATGACATCACAGTATCAGTGTATTCATCCAGATCTGTAGCTGCAGCCTCAAATATGGAACATATGACAATCACCCTTGTTTCTATATGAAAAAAACTGATATATAGATCTTTGTCTTCTAACATGATGAGGTAAAAGATCCCAGTATAAGATCATAAACACATTGCTTCCAAATCATATAATGAAACTGTGGCAGGACAGCCAGAGCCACAAAGCTACATACAAAATCCAGTACGTACTCTCATGTGATAATAAACATGATTACCTGTTACAGACATAATTTAGAGTGTTTTAGAGGGAGCCAAGTATCACAAGTATCCTCTCCCACCAACACTCTTCCTTCCAACACTAACTCCTCCTCCAGAAAAGAGCACTAAAGCTGCCTTCACTTACTGCTGGAATCACTGAGAATTCACACTGGAAAATGACCATTATTTCCATTATTTTGGAAAATATGGACCTGGCAGTGTCATAGTATTATGAAACTCTAAATATTATATGGATTTTACATAAATTACATTGTTGTTTATTGCATCAATCAACAGATACATAATCACAGGGAAGTCTGAGGTAGCAGAGAAACATGTTAGTGTTTACAGGGAGGTTTATCACATGTATGTTCTCCCTGGAAACGTCTGTGGAACAAACACACCCACTCATGTGGTTAACATAAATATAGACAAACTGTTCATTAACATAAAAAATGTTTTTTAGTTTATGTTCTATAACTGCCAAGTATAATAAATTTATTTCTGCTACTATTTCTTGCTTTTATGGAAACAAACACAACACAGACCTTTTCTGAGTTGGCCTATCTGCAAAATATAAAACAATGTAGTAAAATTATTTCTACTTTATCTTTTGTGCACAACAACACTATAAAGGTCAAACATTTCAAATTATTAAAAAAAGGTTGTTAAGATAAAAATTTTAAATATACAATATGTGCACACAAACATATGTTTTAATTTATTCTTACCATGTAAAAACATAACCTACTTCCTTGCTTAGCTTTGTTAAGTGTTGTTTCCTTCCAGTAATGTGAAACCATCAGTTTTAGTCCTGGAGTTTTTAAACAATCTGACGTCACGAGGGTTACATTTTGTAGTCTATTTGAACTGAAACATAAATATCTCTCAAAATTTAGAAAACATGTTTCAGTAAAGATAATTGTCAATAGTCAGAAAAAAGCATCTCAAACACGTATTTTCACGACTTCCCAGTGAAGTGAGACGTTTACGAGCTGGCCGTGAATGCCACAGAGACAGAGCAGTCGGACTGAGAGGAGGATCCGGTAGGTAACAACGATTTCTTTAGGCTTATAAGTGTTTTTCACACTATTTCGAGTATATAACAGTTTGCTTATGAAACATCAGCTGTCTTTTGTCTTATATAATCAAATAACAGTAACGTTACAGTTGGAAAAGAAAGCACGAAAAGTTTCTGTCTTCATTTCCTTTCCTTCACTGTTACACATGTTATGGTTTTTAGGTTAGTAACGTCAAGAAACGTGCATATATATCAGTTTACGTAGCGTTAGGCTGTATCCGCTGCTATTTATCGTAATGGACCGCGGTGCATCATGGGAATGCTGAGCCGCAAATTAACGGAACGCTGGTCGCATTGAGTTAAAGCAGCGTTATGTCAGCGGAAGAGACTGTTCGACAGATGACGTACGAACTTATCCAACTATAGGAGAAAGTCAACGTTACTGTAAGATGATGGAAATGAAACGTTAACCGTGTCTGGATAACCTCTAGAGTCCCTGCGTCCTCATATGAGGACCAAAAATGCATATGAAACCAAAGCTCAGGACTCTAGAGGATAACTTCAAATGATGGCTAATGGCTCATATTATCTGTAAAAGTCTGAATATAGCTAATGTATTATTGTTTTGGGATACTTCAAGAATAAAGACGTTTAAGTAATAATAGAAATAAATGACATTTGTTTGGTTTCCTGCCATAAACCAGATCAGTCCAGGTTTCCCAATAACAACGACACACCTTGTTATTTCAAACCCCTCTTCATAATTTACAGAATTCAGAAACAGGCACAGTCTTGTTGACACCCAGTAACTCTGTGAACACTGGTTACACGACTTGAAGCCAAACAAGTCTTATTGAATATCACAGTCAGTAAAAGGGGTCTCGTAGAGAAAATGGCTGTGGTGGGTGTGAAATCTAAATGATAGATAACAGACCTATTTCTAAGCTACGTGACCATTTGTTCATTAAACTGTTGTTTAGGCAGCTCTGATATCTAAATGAATCAACCCTTGTTATTAGCACCGCTAAATTCCAATGAACACAGTATGATACTGTAAGTTCTTCACCCACTGACAGAAGCACTGTGCCCAGTGCCTCCTACATTAGTATCATTGAACAGTCATGTTTGTTTAATTTAGATAATTGTCAGGTTTTATAAAGAAACACAGGCATTTACCAAAATATTCTACAAATACACACATGGAACATAAACAAATCCCACTTCTTATCATGGAGGAGAACTATTTGACAATAAGTCATAAATTAATGTTCATATGTGGTGACTTCAATATAGATTTGTTAAATCCTAACAAGCACACAGGAACGGAGGAGTTTAACACATTATATAGCTGCAGTTTATACCCAAAAATCACAAAACCAAGTAGAGTAACAACCCAGCATGCAACACTAATAGATAATATATTTACCAATGTTATTGACAGCAAAATGACAAGTGGATTACTTATAAATGATATTAGTGATCATCTACCTGTATTTTTGGTTTATGACTGCCATGTTAGAAAAGAGAGGCCAAAAACAAATCTTATCTATAGGAGGGTGACGAATGAACATGCTGTAAGGAGACTTAAGGAGGACTTAAGGGGACAGGACTGGGAAGCAGTTTACAGAGAGGAAGACTTAGACAAAGCATATGAACAATTTTAAAATATATTTAAGAAAGTATACGACAGGAACTGTCCTCGTAAGCAGCATAAAAACAAAAGGAATTACAGTGGGAAACCGTGGATGAGTAAGGGATTACAGAATGCATGTAAAAAGAGTTTAAACACAGATATAAAGGTATGTGTCAATCAAGATATGGGCAAGAACAGGCTTAATGATTAATCAGATGGGAGTGTGGATGTAGAATATGTATCCATGTAGTAATACTGCTTGCAAACCAATGATGGTAAGATGATGTCATGGGGTAGGACTAGATAAGTCTAACTTGTTCCTACTCCGTTCAAGCATGTACTAGGTATAAGCAAATTGAAAATATATTTGTGGATATGTGTGGAATTATGTGTGTTGACATATTGACTGTTGTTACATGTTTGAAAGAATAAATCAAATCAAATCAAATCAAATCATACTACAGTTGTCACTAAAATGTTACACTTTGTTGCTAGTTCATCCACTTCCTTTAGAATTTCAAAAATTCCTTTAGATTTTCCAAATGCCCTCTGCAGTTTACAACATGAGGTACTACATCCTAGTACCTGACATGCAGTGCTAGTTACTGTGTCACAACCTCAGCCGTTAGTTCATGTGACAGGTTGATAAGATGTAGTAGGGAGACCACAGGGGATGAGAGGAGAACTTACAGCCAGTCATTTTTGGCTATCAGCACATTGCTAGCGTGTCACCGTGAAGTAGCTGAGCGTACATGCTAACCCTAACCCATGGTCACAAATGTGGCAGCGTGAAGACATTGTTGTGTTGAAAGCCAAACCCAAAGAGGAGAGATGTTAGACTTCATGAATGTTGTAAAAGGTTGAAGTGAGTGATCAGCTGACAGCTGAGTCAGCCTTCATAAATCTGTTTTTATGGATGCAAACACACAGCAACGGCCCAGATCACATTTTTATCACTGTGTTTTAGTTCAAGTTGAGTAGTTAAGTAGCTTGGAGCAGCAGCCGATTAATAAATCAGTGGGTTGACAAAATTTAAATGGAAAGTGTTTGGGTTTTCAATCATGTATTAAGCAAAAAGGTCAAAACTTGATGGTTCCAGCTTCTCAAATGTGAGGATTTGCTGCTTGTTGTTGTCTTAACAGTACAGGAAACTGATTAGCCTGTCTATTGAATTGTTGACATTTTCAGATTTTTTATACATCAAATCTTTAAAATCATAAAGTGAAAAGTTGCAGACCCTGAAAATTTGCCTTTAGAGCATATTATGTGTTGGTACACACCCTCATGCCTTGTCAGTGTCATGGATCAAATCACGGCTCCAAAGTCTTTAATTTTTCATATTCCCTTTTGCTAAGATGCAGCCTTAGCTCCACATCTAATGAGACAAAACCCCATAATGAGGTTGTTATTGTCTGCTATTGTCAGCTACATTTTTGTGGTAATATCGACAGACATGGCCATTAGACAGAGATAAGCTACAGTACAATGAAAAACAGCTGGTACTGGAACACAGCTGCAAATTAAGTCTAAGCATTGATGCTCAGGTGTTTTCAAATTGTTCTACAAGTGATCAAAAACTGAAAGATAATAATCATAGCTGTAGTCCAAATGAACACTTTGTGATGGGGGGTCTCCTTGACACTCTATCTTTGGCAGTGGGTTTTCCCCTGCTGCTACAGTGTTGCAGCACTCAGGTGCTCTGTGAGTCAGGTAGTCCCATCTGAACAGGACAGAAGCCAAGCACTCCACAGCCATAACAACTAACATGGGCCTACACACAGTGGCTCATCAGGCCATATGTCAGCGTTGTCTCAAGTTATCAGCTATCATCAGATTCAGAAAGCTTTATTAATCCCAAAGGGCAATTCATTCATGCAGACCACCCATTAAGAGAAATAGGAGAAATAACATCAAAATAATCATCAACAACAGAAAGCCAGTGACATCAGATGCACAGATTAGCAGCTGCTAAAGGGAAGGGGGCACTTCCCTGTTACAGTGGGGGAGCCTGCACGTGAGCCTGTCAGCATTCAGTAGTCTGATCGCAGAGAGAATAAAGGAAGTTGCATATTTATTTGTTTTCCATGCCAGTGCATAATAGTGCTGCCCTGAAGGCATAACTACAAATTGTTGTCAGGTTGACTTAATATCCTTTCTGCTTTCTTGACCACTTGCCTCCTCAAAGTGAGCACAGGTGTTTTTGTTGAAGAATATTGCATAAGCAGCTTTTGTCTTTAACAGACAGGCCATTGTACTAACATACAAATGAAAAGGTTAAAAGACTTTCGATTAGAGTATGATAAAACTTTAATAAAATGACCTTTTTTGACAATATTGTCAGTGTTCTCCTCAAATTTTAGTTGGGAATCAAACACTGTACCCAAGTATTTATAAGTTTGTAAATCCTCACCCTGTATGGTGCTTGTTGGTGTGACACCACCCATCCTAAAATCTATAATAGGTTCCTTTGTTTTAGCCAGATGAAAGTCAAGGCAATTGTCACTGCATCTTTTAATAGATTCAGGAGGAGTAGAGCCATGCTCAGATTGGTGGCCCAGAAGAGGAGACAATGGGGTGGTAATGTCAGAGAACAAGAAATCTACCTTCCTGCAGCTATCTGTGTACAAAATAAAAAGCAAAGGAGAAAGGACATAGCCCTGAGCCCTTCTTCTCTGCATGAATGTGGTCGTGTCAGGGCTCCCACGCATCCTGGAAAACCTGGCATTTTTTAAAACCAGTTTTGCAGTCATGAAAAAGTCGTGGAAAAAAACTTTGTCGTCCGGGAAAACAAGCTTTGCATTTTTATATTTTCCTTTTGCTGAGAGCAAACTGACAGATCTCAGTACGAGCTAGCAGCTACATTTAGGGCAGTGTGTGAGACAAACATGAATAACTTAAACACATTTAAGATGTTTTGCTCCACCACTTCCAGAACTATTGTTTAACGTTAGCCGGCTAGTTAACTAGCTTTATAACATAATAGGATCACTAATAAAGTGGACATTGCGCAGGACTAGACCAAAAGCCTTTCTGGCAGACATGGTGGATTTGAGGAACATGTCAGGTTTGCCCGGCTGCACCTACTTTCTCACTCCCCTCACTCTGTTTTCACTCCCTTACCCTGATTACGTTATCCCTTACACTTCCGTGTTCGAGCCATCCTAACAGAACAAGTGTGTTCTTGAGTTGAATTTGAGTCAAAAATAATACTCCTTTTGAACAAGTCAAATCTTAACTCATGAACATGAAACCTATTTTCTGTCACCACTGAGCGAACCTATTGAGTGGCAGACTGGAGCCCAATAAACAAATAAGACATCTTATCCACTTGTTTTTGTCCGTTATTGTATTTCACTGGGAAGCCAAAGTACTCCCAAACAGGAGGGAGGGTCTCCTTGCTCTAGCTTCTCATTTGCCGTTTGGGTACATGTTATACTGTATCTCATCCATTTCTTAACATTTTCATTTCCTTCTTTTAGAAAATGGTCCAGTGAGAGCAGAGGATGCCAGCTATGAGTCAGAGTAGTCCTGCTCTGTGGACTCAGCTCCCCCCGGGCAGCTCTAGTCAGTCCCCTTGTGACCGCTACAAGCACGCCTGTTGCAGCAATGATGGATATGTCTATATCCTGGGAGGCAGAGACAGCAAATGTCTGAGGGACTTCTGGAGGTACAGTGTAGGTAAGGGCTAGATACCATCTAGTGCTCTTTTTATTTACGTGTTGTTTTAGTTGTTTTTGTTGTTGCAGAATTTTACATTATGCACATTATACGGAGAGGATACTGCCCTTTGTGATAGGATGCACCTAAATAAGACCCAGAAAACAGAAAAGGATTAGTTGTATTGCATACAGCAGCTTTATGTGGTTTGATTCTCAGGCAGTCAAACAAATATTTGTGCCCACTTAGTATGTAACGAGTGGACAGATTTGAGCTGCACCAGTGAAGCTGCACCAGAAGAGCTAGAAGGACATTCTATGGTGGCTCATAAGGTACAAACCCATCAACACCTACTTATGTATGTTTTAATACAGTTTTTTTCCATTATAATTTTAAATGGTATAAAAACACTTGAATTATCTTATGTCACTTCTATCTCTGCTAATATAACACTTGTTTGAACTTTCCAGGGCTTTCTGTATGTGTTTGGAGGTATGTTGGATTCTCCATACACCAAGTGCAGATGTGTGCTTTGGGTATTTGACATTGGTGAGTTTCATTGTGGAAGTACATGCACGGTGCAGCTTAAATTGGCATGTGACCCTTTACGTTATCAGCAAACTGTCAGGCTTGATAGACAAAACCTGTTATTGCTTGTTGATTACAGCACACATTTTATATAATAGGGGTGTAATCATACACAAAAGTCACGGTTTGGTACGTACCTCAGTTTTGAAGTTACGGTTTGGTTCATTTTTGGTACAATAACATAAAAGATACAAGTCATAAAATTATTCACGTGGTGCCGTTTCAAATGAGCTAGCAAGTCTGACATGTTGCCAAAAAAATACCTGATCACCACTGAGCGAACCTATTAAGTGGCAGACCTGGTGGTGGACACCGGAAGTAAGGGATGCTGTCAAGCTGAAGAAGGAGACCTTTCGAGCCTGGTTGGCTCGTGGGACTCCTGAGGCAGCTGATGGGTA